CAGCAGCTCTGTTTTGTGCATTGCCAATTCGAGTCCATGACAATCCAGAATTTAGCACGAAGCATTATCTGATTCAGTTTTCGCTGAGCATGCTGGAGAGTTCGCTCAGTAATGACTGCAGCAATGTCGTCCGCGTACCCAACTAGGAATAAGTCATCGGGCATTTTAATGTTAAGAACTTCGTCGTAGCTTATATTCCAGAGCACAGGTCCTAGTATTATTTGGGTGCATTTTTCACCGTTTTCGGTTTGATAAGCTGCTTTCCCTTCTTTTTAGGATTCTTGCAGCCTTTACCTGTTCACTCTCTGTAAATAGTTCCGCTTGGTTTCCCTCTGTCGGCCGCGTAACATCTCGGGGTCTCATTGTGCGTGCAGGGAAGAGTGCGCCTACCAGATTATCCATTTGGACTTCGTCGAAATTTGGCATCGCGTTATGTTTCATCAGCTTCTTCATTACGATTTTATTTCCCATTTTATTTTATTTAAGTCCCAACGGTCAATATTTACATCGCTACAGAGGACTTTCCATTTCTCGAGCTAACTTTTACGCATGGCATTATTGAGTTCTTTCTTGACTTCTCTGTATTGCTGATCTTCGGATTCAAAGTCTGCTCGTCGCCTTGCTATAGAAGGAAGTTGTTCAGTCGGTTGATATCCTATTTCTGACTTCGTTGGGTAACAGCTTTGTTAACGACGTTACACTCATGAATATGTCGAGAACTTTCCATTCAGCGATTTTATGCGCCGCCGTTTCGGATACCAGAGTTATGTCAGGGATCGTACCCTCACATCTGTCACGTCTGAATGTCGGGAATGAGCCAACGTTTACCACTACGAAGCCCAATCTTGCAGTCATGTCTAAGACTTTACGACCTCGATTTGTAACTGACATTCCCTACTCTTTCGCTTTTGCATTAAAGTCACCCGCTATGATTCCCATGTATTTGAGATGAAGCATCCTCTATGTTATCCAGCTTGTGTTCAAACAGTAACAGCTGAACATTGTATACTCTCCGACAAAACCGAGGACAAAACCGTTTCTCCGACTGTCATTATGACAATAAATTCAGCTTGTACCTCTAGCCACAAGCCGTCGTCTTTCTTCTAGTATTGCTCGCTAACTATGACTAGATCAAATTCTTGTTCGACAGCGATCTGGGATAATATTGCGTCAGCTACTACGCTTCTGTACATGTTTTCTTGAATTATCTTCATGTTTTATCATTTTTTCGAACTTGCTACGCAATTGATCGCTCCCTGAAAATGATTCAGTTCCTTGTACTGTTCATGCGCATACAGTGTTCTGTGTGTTCTGTCCCGGGCGGTTATTAGGCAGGAGTAAACTCAACTGCGCCTATATCATCAACTTTACCTGAGGGTCCCTCTGGTTTCCATCTGTTTCTACGATTTAAGTCTGGCCAATGCGTCTAATTCGCGTTCTTTGGCACGCAGATTATGCCACCGCAGTCTAGCTTATAAAGCTGGCGTCTCCGGCCTTTCCCCACTGGTTTCTTCGGTTCACCTATTTTGCCACTGGTCCATTGCTTCTTGACCTGCTGCTGTTTTGTTTATGGATCTTTCTTCTTGTTGGGAGCTTAGCCATAGTCGTCTTTTCTTAGTAGCTATGAGATCCATCAGTATAGAGCCACTGATTACTAGCACCGCTGCTGAGTGCAGACGGAACTCTGAGTGCAGCCGTTCTTTGAGAAGCAATGAGGGCCTTAGCTTCTTGTTTTGACTTAAGGGCGTCTGTCCATATTTCGGAGCCATAAAGCACCACCGCATTCGCTGTGGACATAAATAGTCGCCGTTTGCTCGCAATTGAGCCACCTACATTTGCCATTAGCTTACTTAAATGGGTTTTGGCTTTCGTTGCTTACTGTGCCCAGAACGTCAGTCTTGAGTTGAGCGACAGGGTCAGATAGCTTACAGCTATTTTCGTGACAATGGAAGATCCCCTCCACCATCATTAATACCTCTAGTGGAATTGCCGTGTTAGGAAAGTCAGCTCAGTTTTCTCTACTGCCAGCTTCAAACCGTGATATTCTAGCCAAACCCTGGTGCGGATCAACACCTGGTTCAGTAGTCTTTGTGCTTTTCTCATGTCCGTTGTCTGTATGATAGCCGCGACATCGTCTGCAAAGCCAGTAAAATGTGCTCCCTCTGGCATCTGAACAGAGAAAATCTCATCAGAGCGTGTACGATACACCCCCGATACAAGCCCCGAATCATCCGCGCTAGATACGCTGGGACTTGCAATCTTCTTTCCAAGGGCATCTATTACGTCAACACACCTAAGGCTATTAAAGTTATTCCTGACGTCCAATGTTACCAACAGCACCAGGTTTCTAAAGTCGTGGTTACCTCTATGTGTCTCCATTACTGTACTCATAACTGCTTTTATTGCACCGATATCGGTTGCCAAACGACATTTTAGCATCTGTTCTAGTGGTGTCAAGCATGCAGAGTGGCCGATATGCACTCGGAGTTTCAGGATCACCTCGTCCCTTACTTATCAGGGTCAACTGTTATTTTTTCCAGACTTCAGGAAAGATTCCTTGCGGAAATCAAGCATTGAACATCCCTAGCAGGTATTGCGGGCAAACATCTGTCATAATCTTGACTGTTTCCGCTAGAACTCCATGTGGTCCGGGGGCTTTGTTTCTCTTTAATGAGCGCGCTGTGAGTTTGAGCTCGTCCTCGTTGAAGAGCGGTAATTGAATACAATCTGACGTTCCTGGGTCTGTCCATTTTTCTGTTCAATGAAAAGAGATTTCACGAATTTTTACATCAGTCTTTCCTCGAGCAAGGGGACTGGTGCGATACCACAGAATTTCCGGATCACGAGCTTGTAACCTAATAATAATAATAAAACCAAAAATAAATTTTCTATAGAAAAAATGTTCATTAATATTGTGATGCTTGACTATACATATATGAGTTGAGCCAAAGCAACAACAACAACAGCTGCGGGCAGCGCATGGACAAAGATTCCACTTATGGCTATAACTTTACATTTGACCTATCATTATGAAACATAACTTGGAAACACAAGAGCATAAATGGGATCTAAGAGCCAAATTTGAAAATTCCAAGAATTACGGGAAATTTCTAATATCGGAGCAGTGAAAGGGCGAATGATAAAATAAACAACACAATTTGTCCTTTCTCGCACTAAGGATTTGGGTACTAAGTTTGGTCATTCCAGCTCTTATACTTTCCGAGATGCTTGCATTCAGACAGACAGACGGACTTGACTATATCTTCTCGTTTTGCCTTACTGGTCAAGAATCAATATAATTTTTGGGGTCTGCCACGCATCCTCCTGAGTCTTACATACATTCGCACAAAACTAGTATACCCTTTTACCCTTTGTATATAGGGTATACAAATTTCAACACCAATAAATAAAACACATATTCAATAAAAATCATGTTAGTATTTGTTTTAATGGCGTAATAACTTCGATATGTGAAATACTTAATATACATACATATGTGTTCATGTTTATTTATATAAATACATATTAAAATAAATAGAATAATCATGTTTGTATATATATACATACTTAGAAATGTTACCTAATTCAGGAATGCAAGCCTCATTAAAAACCTACGACCCTGATCACAAATTCTTGTTGTTTTGTAAGGTTCAAGGTTTTTGAAACGAAAAAGAGCGAACTTGATGCTGATTCGTTAACAACTTTTCATGACTTGAGTTACTGGGATACTTGTAATAGAAGAGTCTATATACCAAGTTTGGTAAATGTGGGCTCAATTGTCTTCGAAATCCAGGCGGTAATCCATACGGACGAACATGCCCATATATATCACAATTCATCTCGTTATTCTGATTAAAAATATACAATTTACCTTATGGAGACCTTCTCCCTGTTACATAGTTTGCACAAACCTAATATAATATTTTCAACCTTCGGGTACAGGGTATAATAATAAAGGATTCTCTCCAAATCGGGTGTCCCAACTTTTAAATACTCTGTACATATGCTCAGAATAATTATAGAAATTTAAAAAGTTAAGAAAATTAACAAAAAAATGTTGATCGATTTTGCCTTCCTTGGTATTCGAACTCACGTAAAGGGTGTATAATTGCACATTTATATAGCAATTATGTATATGTGAGTGTATGCATGTTTATGCGTGTCTATTCGTGTCTGTATAAGCATGTATGCAGCACAAAGTTCAACCAAAGCAGCGGCAACAACAACAGTTGCAATGCTTGAGCTGAGAGAACATATATGTATATGGGTATAACTTCCTTTAAAAACAGCCTATAACGATGAAATTTGACGTACGGGCACATACTCACTTAAAAGTGCCAAATTTGAATACGAAATTCTGAGAATTACGGGAGTTATGTAAAACCTCTAGTTGTAGGGGAGAGGCTAGGCGTTTTCTGTGTATTCACATAAGGCATCTTGGAATAAAATTTTGTGTAGTTAGGGAAAAAGCTATTCTTAGCTATTGCTAGAGTAGCGGCCGCGCATGTGCACAAAACAACCACTAACCGGCTGCCACGTCTACCTAAACTGATGCTGGATACGCACACATCGATACAGCGAGCTGCATGCAACACACGATATATTTTTAGATAAAGTTTATTTTATTAAAAATAATTAGACCTACGCACATTCAAAATTTTGTACATTTGCATTTCAATTAATAAACAGACAGAACCACAAGAACACTCGTGCAGCTGTGATCTCACATTCCCTTTCAGCTCCTCCGAATACACTTGGTTCAAGTACCAATTGTAAAATACTCAGCCAGTAGTTAGTACTAGAGGCTAACACAACAACACAACTCATAAATACCCTGTACCTTCCACAAAAAAGAAAAAAGGGGGAAACAAATTTATATCAATTAAATTAAATACAAATTATTCAATACATATATACAAAAGTGGAGAAATGTTCATTTACAGTTTCAACAGCATACATTTTCATCAGAATCGTGTCTATATGCGTGTTTATATGCGTGTTTATATGAGTGTATGTATGCAGCACACAGCTGAACCAAAGCAGCAACAACAACAACAGCTGCGGGCAGCGCTGCGGGCAGAGGAACAGGCAGCACATAGGCAACGATTTTAGTTATTGCTATAACTTTCTTCAGAATTGGCCTATCATGATGAAACTTGCCATACGGATACATATTAGAATTACAGTTACGTATGGAAAAAACACAAATAGCGGGGGTGTGAGGGGGGTGCATCAGAGAAAAAATCACAATCTCGTCATTTTTCGAACTTTGGAGAATCTAGATATCAGATTTGGTTATTCTAGCTCTTATACTTTCTGAGATCCTTGCGTTCATACAGATGGATGGACAGACGAACATGGCTATATCGACTCGTCTTGTCACCCTGCTCAAGAATATATATACTTTGTGGGGTCCGCAAAGCCTCCTTCTGCCTGTTACATATATTTGCACAAAAATAGTATAGTCTTTTACCCTTTGGGTACAGGCTATAAATAGCCAAATTATCATTGGCTCACGGCTAAATTTGATAGTGTTCCTGTTCTAGTCAGACAAACATGTTTTCATATGTGGAGGTTTTATATTTATTTGGTGTCATTGCTCCCAAATAGATATATAGTATGTACGTCATATTCGCAATATCATACTATTCAGAATTTGTTTGCATCCCTGAATTAAGCTGCAATTAAAATAATAAGTATTTTATAAATCTAAGTACATAATTTTTGTGGCTGAAAAGGCCCCGCATAAACTTAAAAAGCTTGCTGTACTGACAACAGCGGTTGTGGTTCCTGAAACCTTCACAATTGTACCCATGCACATTGATAAAATAAATTGAGCCAAGAAAACCATACTGCTTACAATGGCCACATCAGTGCCAAGGCCGCGAACTTCGGATCCAAGCTTTGCACACCCTTGTCCGTCCAATTCAAACTGAAAATAAAATATATAAATATTTAATACAAATATCTTAAGAGTTTTATTATATTTGTAGAATTTAGGAGACAATTTCAAAACAACACTTTCTCGCCGCTATGGAATTTCATCAACACTGCACTATGGTTTTTTTTTGCAAATTTGGTTTATACTTATATTTTGGCATCCCAAGAAGAAGTACGAGCTTGTTTTTTGACTTGAACATTTTTGCTATATCCATTATACGATATCGACGATATGCAGGAAAAAAATAATTTACAATGGTCATGGCTTGTGTATTAATTTATAGACTTTAAGTCTTTTATTCAGGAATAAATATATGATTTTGCATATAGCCACTTTAAGCCGATTTGACAGGAACATATATCTGAAATTAAAGACACTTAAAAAATAGGGGTGAAGTACTTTTGATATAGTAAAGAAAAGGAAAGAAATCTTCATTTTGATCAATGTATATACTATACAAGGTGTGTTCCAAAGTAAACAGGACTTTAAAAAAAAAAAACAAATGCGTTTTTCGGCAAAATCAATTTATTTTAGTCAAAATAATCTCCTTAGAATCTGCTATCTTTACCAACTGTCCAGTGAGAATTTCATGACATTTCATCGATTGGAAGTGAAGTTATTGCGTTTTAAGTGTCAGTATGTTTGTGTTATCGGTGCGAAAATGAGCTTCGAACAAAGAGCCAAAATTAAATTTTGTTTTAAAATTGGTAAAACTTTTACCGAAGCGTTTCAATTGATGGAACAAGTTTATGGCGATGATTGCCTATCCCGTAGCAGAGTGCACGAGTGGTTTCAACGTTTTCAAAGTGGTCGTGAGGACACAAATGACGATCAACATGTGGGCCAATCAAATATGTGATCACCGAAAATTCCATCGAAACTGTGCGTGAATTCATCAAAAATCAGCCGACATCATCATTGAAATTGATGGAAATGGAATTGAAATCTCCAAAACATCGATTTATCGCATTTTGACCGAACATTTGGGCATACGAAAGGTGTGTGCACGGTTTGTTTCGCACAAATTAACTGACGAACAAAAATTGCTCAGAATCCAACATTCGAAGGACATCATTAACGAGGTCAAACAGGACAAAAACTTCCTTTACAATATTGTGACTGGTGATGAAACGTGATGTTTCCAATATGATCCTGAAACGAAACGCCAGAGTGCTGAATGGAAAGCACCGGACAAGCCGAAACCCAAAAAATAGCGCATGGAGAAGTCTAAAGTGAAGGCAATGCTGATTTGTTTTTATGATTCGAAGGGTATTGTCCACAAAGAATTTGTTTCACCCAGCCAAAACGCTAATGCGGTATTCTACCTTGGAGTTTTGAAGCGTTTGGTGCGCCGTATTCGACGTGTTCTGCCCGAATATCGCGAAGATGAAAGTTGGCCTTTATTGCACGATAATGCGCCGTCTCATCGATCGACGCTTGTGACCGATTATTTGACCAAAAATCACATTTTAACCATTACCCACTCGCCGTATTCACCTGATATGGCACCGTGCGAATTCTACCTTTTCGGAAAAATGCATTTGCCCATGAAAGGAAATCGTTATGCAGACGTAGATGCCATTCAAAAGGCTTGCACCGGCATACTGGCGGCCATACCGGCCAACGAGCTAAAACACTCGTTCGACTTGCATCTGGGTCGTGCAAAAAGCTGTATTGAACCAGAAGGAGACTATTTTGACTAAAATAAATTGATTTTGCCGAAAAAAACATTTGTTCTGTTTTTTTTTTTTTTAAAAGTCCTGTGTACTTTGGAACACCTCTTGTATATTTAGTATAATTATAGAAATAAAAAAAATTAAGATATTCTAAAACAAAATGTTGATCGATTTTACCTTTCTCGGTATTCGAACTTACATAAAGGGTGTATAATTGCACATCTACAAAGCAATTGCGTCTATGCAAGTGTATGTATGTCTCTGCGCGTCTATTCGTGTCTGTGTGAGCACGTTTGCAGTCAACCAAAGCACCAGCATCAACAACAGCTGCGGGCAGCGCTTGGGCAGCAAATATATTTATGGCTTTAACTTCCTGCTAAATCGGTCTATCATGATGACATACGGACACATAAGCACTAACTGGGGGAATTTGAGTTCGAAATTCCAAAAATTTCGGGAGTTACGACTTGTGGGGAAAAATCAAAAAATAAAACAAACTAGCATAGCGTAAGGCATTTTTGTGCAAAATTTGGTGTCTCTAGCTCTTATAGTTTCTGAGATCCAGGTGTTCATACGGACAGACGGACAGACAGACAGGGCTAGATCGACTCGTCTCGTCATGCTGATCGAGAATATATATACTTTGTGGGGTCTGCCACGCCTCCTTCTACCTGTTACATTTTCAGCTCCCGCAAACCTAATATACTCTTGTTCATTTCATGTACAGAGTATAAAAAGTTGTTAAATATCGGAAGTAAAGTCGAATTTTACACTTCAGATGTGGGGTGAGCCCTCCCAAGTCTTCGCCAATTTACATTATTATTATATCTGAACATGCTCAGCGTAAAATACCACTCGATGGATACGCTAGTTCTCTGAAGTAATTTCACAAGAACGTATTTCACAAAAATGGAAACTGCTTCTGCGGAGGTGCTAGTGAGTGGAGTGAAGCGTTATGGTGAGGTGTCGTCGCAGGCGGTAACGATTACTAGTTTGTTCTTGGAAACGTTGGAAAAGTGGATAGTGTGCGAAATCAGAATGTTTCTGTGAACGCTGCCAAGAACCAACATGTCAGAACAACTTTGTCCGAGCTCGATCTGGAGTTGAATATTCTGGAAAGAATGTCTGACGTGTGCATTGCTCGGAAACGCTTAGCAGAACTGCGGGCAAGTATATATGATATCGAGGCCATGTTGGAAACCCCCGAAGCTGGCCGAGTTTTGATATAAGAGATGTTGAAGCAATAGTTCTAGTATTTTCCGGAGACGATCACCTATTAATTAATGTTTGGGTATGTAAAGTTGAACGCGCAGCGGAAACTTTTAAAATGAATGACAGGCAAACTACTCGCTCTTAGTATGCTGCGCGGTTCTGCAAAGACTTACATCACTTACGAAAAATTATCAACTTGGAAAGAGCATCGAGATTCTTTGACTGATGTGTTTGGCACTAAAACTACACGCTTGGAAGTAGCCAGGTTATTGGAAAGCCGTAAACTCAAAAAGTACGAATCATCGTTACAATATTTTATGGCAATGCGCAACATTGCAAAAAAAAAAAGTGATTTGGAAGACGCTGACATTATAAAATGCTAGTGGACGGGAGGACTTCAGCGGAGGACTTCAGCGGCCATTCGAGCTCCCTGTATTTTTGCAAAACAATGGATGAGTTGCGAAAAGGTCTACTACGTTACGAACAAGTACGTACAATTGCAGTTCGAAAAACAATTGCACCCCGTCGGCTGAGTTCTGAGCCCACAAAGAATATTCGATGTTACAACTGTAATCAGGCTGGCCATTTAAGCAACGATTGTCAGCAACCAAAGAGGCCACCGAGGCTTGCTTTAACAGTTCTGAGGTTGACCACAAAGCTACACAATACCCTAAGAAGATCGTAGGCATTGCTACGGAGAACAACTTATCGTCGCAAGAAGACCAGTCTTACATAACGGGTGCACAGAAGTAAAAAATATTTTTTCGTCGTTAGATTCCGGAAGCCCAATAAGCTTTTTAGCAAGATCTTTTGCGCCACTAAGAATTTTGAAAGGCGAATTATCAAATAGTAAATACCGTGGCTTTGGCTATCAGTCCATCCCAACATTTGGAGAAATTACTTGTTCAGTTCTGTTTGAAAGCAAATATTATGAAATGCCAGTTTATGTAGCTCCCGATTTGATTTTACCAACCCCATTACTATTGGGAAGAAATGCTTTAAGTATACTCAATTTAAAACTTTTGACAGATGTTAAGCATAGATGTAACTGCTAAAATTATAATGCTGATCAAATAATTGGTTTCGTTTATCAATCTTCAATCTTTCTGTGCATCCGTACTCGACAAATCAAAGTTATTTAATTGTAATACAGACGATCACAATAGCCTTAATGAACTAAATGAAAGGAATGTTTGGAAGTTAGTAACAAATGTAATGCATCCAAGGCCGAAGAAGCTGAGCTATTGTATGGTGAACGGTTACGTGAATTTGTTAGCCTTCTTGATGAAAGTCTATTCCAAGCCGACAGGAATTCGGACTAGGTATAGCTGACAAATGCCGAGATTTAATATAGGTTCATTATTTAAACAAAAGCCCAGTTACTCCTTGTTCGCCGAAGTGCACTATGACAATCAAGTTAAATGATAATACACCCTTTCATAGTAGCCCCCGAAGACTGTCGTATTACGAAAGGGATAAAGTTAGAAACATAGTCGAGGATTTGTTGACAAATAATATAATAAGAGAAAGCGATTCGCCATATGCGTCACCAATCGTTTGTTGAAGAAGAAATCGGGTGATATTAGGATGTGCATTTACTACAGAGGCCTTAACAAATTGACAGTTTGTGAAAATTTTCCTATGCCACTTATTGAGGATTGTCTAGAATATTTGGGGGGAAAGTCAGTGTTCTCAGTAATTGATCTTGAAAGCGAATTCCACCAAATAGGTATGGATAACGAATCCATTAAATATACCGCATTTGTGACACCCGACGGGCAATATGAATACCTAAGAATGCCGTTTGGCCTAAAAAAAAGGGCCCGCTGTATTTCAACGGCTTATATCAAATGTTCTTGACCCTTTTTGAAATCTCGAGATCTTGTAGTTTATATGGATGACATTATTGTGGCGACTCGTACTGTTGACGATCATATGGTTGTACTGCAGAAACTATTTGACAAACTAACTGAGTATAGCTTGGAAGTGAATATAAATAAACAACAATTTAAACAAAAAAGAAACCGATTTGAAACTATTAACAGGCACTAAAAAGTAAAAAATAATTGCGTATTCTTCTACAACTTAATATTCAATATATAA